TATATATATATATTAAGATATAACATGACAGGTTTCTATAGAAAAAATGGAAAATAAAAAAAATTGACAGATCTACAAATTCCGATGCATCGTTTAGCAGTTTACTTTAACAATTTTTGCTGGTTTTTCTTGCGGTAGCTTTTATTCGGAGAGTGGGGTTGAATTTCTTTTCCTTTTTATCATGTTTTGTTTTTTGCTAAAGGAGTGGGGTAAAAATTTTCTGCTCCAAAATCCGAAATATATAGCTTGAATCTAATGCTGGTTCAATTAGTAACTTTGGTTTTATAATTGTCTCTTTAAAAGAAGTGCTGATGATAAGACCTTAAACCCCTTTTCTTTTTCTTCCTAAAGAAGTGGCAATGGAGGGTCAGTGAACAGTCATTCTCTTTCAGTTAACAGTGTATAACCTTAGGATAAAAGCTATAAAAAACAATATTTCGTACACTAGAAAGCCCGGCAAACCCTATTTGCTCCTTGGATTTATACAAACTTGTAACTATATGATACATCCACTTCGATTTCAGAGGAAGGACCCCCAAAAAAAAAAAAAAAAAACCTAGCTATAGCTCGTAGCTTCCTTTGTTTTCTATCTCTTAACCCCGGCCCACGTAACAAAATTAAGGTCCCGTTCACTTCACCGATTCGAGTTTAGAATTCAAGTTTTGTTACAGTAAAAAGCTCTCAGAAACAGTCACATCTAACTTTTTTGCTACAATAAAAAGCTCTCACATAAGTCATATCTCAACTTGAATTAAAAACTCGAATCAACAAACTAAACGGGCCCATGACGTATCAATTCTAACAATAACTGGTCTCCTTTATTACAAAATATGGAGCTTTTTTTAGTATATAAAAAAATAAATTATTAATAATTTTTTATTTTTAATCGTTAAATTTATATTAAAAATTATATATTATATATTATTTTTTAATTTAATATGATTTTAATTTAATTTAACAATCAGAAATTAATTGGCACTATCAGCAGGATTGGCCTATAGAAAAACTCCTACAATATACATATATATTGACAGTACACATGTTTAAGTATATTACATATATAACTAAATCACAACAAATTAAAAAAGTACACACAATTTTTAATACAGATATGACGGTTAAAAGCAAAAAATTACTGATAGTTTATTTTTCTGGTCCTACTAAAGAAACTCCTCACATATTATATGCAAGTACTATATATATGTATATATATATATATATATATATATTACAAAATCAACAAAAGTTTGACACTTTCATGATAAAATCTCTAAGAACAAAATTATCTTTGACAAAAACTTTAAAGACATCTCTTTAGTGAACATTTATTCGCAGCTTTTATTTATAGGGTGAATTACCAGAATCAAGTAATATTTATTTTTTATGTAATATCCTTATCTTTTGTAACTTTTTTATTTCAATACAAAATTTATATAGGGTTGAATTTGTTATTTAGAGGATACCAATCTAGTTATGATGTTTTAATCGGCACATATGCCTCTTATCATATATATGAAAAAAGGCAGTGTGAAAACAATATGAAACTTTGTTAAAATCTAATAATTAAAACATTGCACTAGTGATAGGTAGACATTATCCCCCGCAAAACTTTCAAAACCCCCCAATAATTTATCTCTCTTTTGTCGACTGGAAAATCAGGAGGGGGAATGCGACCTTTGTTGGGGGTCCTAGGGGCCTGGGAAGAGTATCTCTAATCTAAACAAAAGTTTAGACAAAAACAAGTCAGTGTGCTATAGGCCAAAAACCTTTTTCTCCTTTTTTTTTTATTTAATTTTTTTCCCCTTTCTCTTGGGGCTAAACAAAAAACTTCTTTGTTGGGGGAGCTACAATAGGCTTTTCCTAGCTAGGTTAGACACCCGACTCCTGCGCCAAAGATTGGCTGAGTACGCACGTGACGACATCTCTCCCTTTGATCAATAACTCCAACCAAACCATAGCCCCATATAGTCATATATATTCCATTACCCCATATATATATATATATATATCCTATATTGGTCTTCCCATGAAATCATAATAACCAAACCACTTAAGTTTCCCAAGTAAATTAAGTTCCTCAGGTAATTTCTTTAGGCGTCAGGAAAAAAAAAAATGAACTACTTCCCAAGCAGTACTACAACCACAACCACTCAATACTCTACTAGTTCATCATCTAGATCTTGTGCTGCTTCAAACAACAACAAGAAGGAGATTAATAAGGTCAAGAAGGGCAACAGTGGAAATAACAATATTAAGAGAAGCGGTAACAAGGGAGTGATGAAACTCTCTACGGACCCGCAAAGCGTGGCGGCTCGGGAGAGGAGGCACCGGATCAGCGATCGGTTCAAGATCTTGCAGAGTTTGGTCCCTGGTGGGGCCAAGATGGACACGGTGTCCATGTTGGAGGAGGCTATTCAATACGTCAAGTTTCTCAAGACCCAGATATGGCTTCATCAGACCATGATCAACTATCAGTTCGTGGATGATCAGGAGAACTATAGCCAAGACCACACGCCCAATGCCATGTTCCTTACTCCACCTGATCATCAATGTAATGTTCACGATTCTTCTAATGGTAACGTTGCAGTTCTTGATGATCAAGCTCCTCTGGAGATGCTGATGGTACCGGATTATAATTGCGCCTTTGGTCAAGGCCATGAAACTACGTCGTTTGAGCATGCGTATGGGAGATATGATTAATCGGCCAGTTAGTTTGTTATATATATATATATATATAGTCACGAGGAGTAATATTTTAGTTAGCAAGTTTAGATTATGTCGTGTGTTATATATGTGTTTTGATGTTGAAGATTTGGCTGGGGTTATTTAGTATATATTATGTGAAGAAGGGTTTGTTACTATGAGGACGCTACTATAAAAAATAAAAATAAAAATAAAAAGAAAAAATAAAAAAAAATTCTCTTTGTAGTTTTTCTACTTATTTCATGATGATTATGATAAGAAGTTTCTAGTTTATGATTTGCTGACCGACAATTAAACCCGTAATCAATTGAAGTTCGCCCTTGTGCATTTTCTCTCCAGAAAACTAGGATTTTTATTCTGTATCAACTAGCAACTTACGTCACTAAAGAGCTGGCACTTGTGGAAAAGAAAAAAGAGAAAAGAAGGAAACAAGTACTGTGCGTGGGGCATATTTTTGGTCCTGTATATGTCGAACAATATGCTAGATTGTCCTTAATTCTGTTTGATTTGCTATGATAATATTACATATATCTAATTCTTTTTGTTGTGGAAAAAAAGATAAATGGTAATTAAGATTAAAGTCACTAGTAAATAAACTAAGAAACAAACGGTGCATCAAAAAAGAAACGACTATTTTACTTTACTAGAAGGGTTATTTATGACAAAATTAATTAAGACGAACTTGTGGTTAAAAATTATTTAGACATTTTTGGTATATATATATATATATATCTAGATGGCAATGTCGTTCAATTTCTTAATAGCTTTGAGGTGAGCGTTACCGAACTATAGCTTCAATTTTTTTAGAGCGCTTTCTTTCTCTTTTAAACTATATATGTGTGTGTGATTTTCAATTCTTTTGGGTGTTTATAATATATGAAGGGATTTTCTCGAACTCTTGTAAGTAAAAATTGACCATCGGTTTATTCTTATTTTTAACTGTTAGATATGTATCAAAATTTATCTAATATATATATATATTTTTTAATTAATGTAATTTTAATTAGATTTAACATTTAAAAATTGAGACTACTAGGACGGACAACTAGAAAAACTCATGAAATCAAAAGTAGAAATTAATTGTAAAAGAGAAGATGGAAAATAGTTTTTTAGTACTACTAAGGACAACTTTATCTTCGGACTAGACTATGTAAAATTTGAATTGGACTTGCAAGAAAAGGGGTCAAGGACTCTACAAGGAAAAGAATGTAAAGAAGAAAGAGAAGCAAAAGAAGGAAAGTAACTAACAATATTTATTCCCTTTAAAGTAACAAAGTATTGTTCTACCTGGGGATCAAAACCTTTGTTCTTGAAATTGCCAAAAAGTGACGAAAAAATATAAGGATTTGTTTGTCTTATATAGTTAATGATTGTGGTAGAATTAAGACTTAAAACTCTTAAAACAAACGAACACAAAATTTTACAAATAATCCATTAATAAAGCTATGTTTTAAACCGTAAAATTTATATCATATTGTGATTTTTTTTTAATGTGTATTGTATTCATTTAGTTTTGCATAATTTTTTAATTTTAACATATACTTAGAAATACTATGCACTACGGCCCCCCCTAAAAAGATTCTAAAAAAATATTGAGAAAGGTATTCATTTCCTCCCTCTCAATATGACAACTTGTGGCGGGCAGAAAGAGGTCTTTGGGCCACTCATATGCAAAAACAAAGGTTAAGACATATGGTAAAATTTCACAAGTCATATTAAATTCATCAAAGATTTTTGAACATTTAACCTTAAACCTCAATATGACAAGTCATATAAATTGTACTAACTTAAACCTTAAAACTTTTTTATTAGTCCCTCGTCTTTTAAATTTTTTTAGATGGAAAAAATTAACATATTAGTATTTAAGTTATAAACAAATGAGTAAATATTCTCACCATTTTTTTCGGAAAGGTACATTACAAGTCCAATTTATTTTTTAAAAAATATTCATATATCTAAATTCATCTAATACAATAAATAAATAAACTTGTCCGTAATCAATTTTTCCTCCAAAATAAAAAACACTAAAACATCTGTTAAATTACACCTCATTTTCTTCTCAATTCTCAAAAGATTAGTGTTTAAAAGAAAAAAAGGATTATTTTTAAAGTTTATATTTTAACTTTAATTGTAGGCAAAGCCAATATTATCGTCAATGTAACTTTAATAATCCTATGACCGCCTCTCGATTTTTGTCAGCTGGCGGTGATCTATGACTCGATTTCATTAATGACACAAAGTTCTCAACAAAACGACACTATTCAAAATATAGTAAGGCTCCAAAAGCCTGGTAATTAGAAAGCTAAAATATTTTTGATCACTTCTGAAAATACGGTTTGTGCATTCCAAATAGGGGGATACGATGAATACGTCAATCCGTTCAATTCGGTAATCTAATCTAATCCGTTAGCGGTGCACAGATAGTTGGATTGGCGGTGTAAACCTCAAGAAAATCCTAAAGTAAAAATTTTTAAATTACAAAATTTAACTTAAGCTTTTTTTTTCTTCTGAAATGTATATTTATTACATTTATAATGGAATGTAAACTTCCATATCAGTGAGATCTCACACAATAGGTTGATAAAATGATACATGTAATGAGCATAACCACCATTATGATTAACTGTGATTAAGTTATGTTTGAAATTATGAATTAACATGAATTTTTACGGTTTAAAGTGTCTTGATGACTTTTTTCAAGGATCTAAATCAAGGGTCCAATGAAGAAAGCATAATAAATGAGAATTTCAAGATATATAACTTACATAAATTTAGACGTTAATCATAATTCATGTTATACGGACATTGTTTGATGATTGTTTAAGTTATTTCTTAAATATTTAAACCCAACGATTGTTTCCATGAAATTCATAAAAACATATAATGAGGCGATAATGTGTTCGTTGAACGATGATATCCACTTTCATGAATGAGTTACATTAGACTCTTTAATGATTTAATTGGACGTCAACCTCGGTAGAATTGTTCAATATTAGTTCTTTAGTGTGAGAAATTCCAGAGGGGATTAGCATGTTAGGATGTATGGCATTTCCAGTTAAATATTTATATTGAAGTACCTTGAAATTATATTGAACTTTATTTAGTTAGTACAAATGATTAGGAAGATATTTGAATTAATAGACCATTATAGACAAATTTTTGAATCAAAGGTCTAGCATAGGTCTAAAGTTGATCGATGGTGTAGAATGTATTTAGGTTTGACCGATGGTGTAGATATTGGAGATGACAAAATCGATGGTGAAAATTATAGATGATTTTGATTAAGTTTGATCAAGGGTGGAGATTTATTTAGATGCTTTGAGAAAGCTTGCATGCATCCAACTTGTTTGAAGAATTTGCATGGCTAAATTATGAAGTGTCTCATAAATGTGTACCATACAAAGTACCAGGTGATAGTGATCCATTGTAATGACCGAGAAAATCATAGAATTAAATAATGTAAATTTATTTATTTAAGTCAAGGACTTTTCTCAGTAATATACTGTCATATTTTGTAACTGAAGAATTTATGGAATTAATATCAGTATTCTTAAATTCTGTAGTAAGTTTTATGATTAGTTCATATTTTAAGAACAAGTAAATTCAATTGATAAATTCTTACCGCAATTAAGGCGGAAGAATTCTTAGTGCATATACAGTTGGAGAATCCTAATCTTAGGAATCTCTTAGTGCAGTATAATGTTAGCAGTGTATAGAGAAACGCTTTGACATTTAAAGAGAAAACCCTTAATTTCCAAACAAATAAGAGAAAATTAAAGGGGTGGTGTTTCAGTAAAGAAATTCAGATGCAATATGAGTTTAGAAGTTGACAAAGTCGGGAACTGAAATTTCCTGTCAACTAGGTAAATTTCTAAAAGTCAGTATGAAGTAATAAGAATAGCTATAAGAATAGAACATCAATGGGTGATTGCCAAGTGTTCATTAAATCTTGCTTATGTAAGCAAGATGACATCAAGTAAGCAATTAGAAAGTTAAGTTAGGTAAAATACTGTTATCGTCTTTCAGACTGCAATAAGGAAGGATGTGCATAATGTTGTGTTAAACCCACAAGTGGGCCAACACATGAATCATAAGGTTAAGAAGTGAAACAGAATTGAAAAACATCAATTCTAGGGTTTTAGAAATAATCAGAACGAAAAACGGACGAAAGATGGGTCCGGAAGGTCGAAACGAGAAAATTAGGGTTTCGACTGATTTAAGTGGACCGAGTCAAAGTTTGTTGACCAAAACGTCACTCTCGAAAAGTTAGCCAAGAATGGTCAAGGTTGACTAAGTTGACCAACTATCTGAAAAACGCAGATAAAACGCGCACTGGACAAGAAATTAAGTTGAACCAAAATAGAATAATTATTAGATGATCAATGGTTGAGATTAAAAGTGACTTTTTGGATGGAGGGCTGAGATCTTGCCATTTTTTTAGAGAGGTGGCCGGCCAAGCTTGTACAAGAAGCCAAGAAGAGATATTTTGGAGGATTTTTGCAAAAAAAAAAGACCCCAAAAGTTAGGAAATTACACTTAGACCCCTTCTTTTCTTCTCCAACGTGTTTAAGTGTAAGAAACATAATTAAACACCCTCTTTTTCATGTCAAGAACCGTGGGTGTTCATCCAAGAGAGAGAAGAAGAAAAAAATTACCAAAAGTGAAGAAAAGAAAGTTTTAAATGGGAATCGATCGAACTACCGAGGATTGGTGATTCTGAAGTTTGTTCTTCATTCTTCTAAGGTGAGATTTCAGTTTTCCTCTCCTTTTTCTTACCTTGGCCGAATGGTTTGGATGTGGCAGAGAGTACTGAGAAAGTTTGCTAAGTTGATGATTGAGTTTCAATTGATGAAGGAATTGAAAGCTTAAAGGATGAATTTTAGGTTGTTAGTTTATGTTCTAGCAACTTTTAGATATGAAAATCCTTGTGAGAAATTAGATGGAACCCTAGAGTATGGTTCCGAAGTTGATTAAATTGTATGAGAAAGATTGTTAGTTATGACTAGAAGATGAAGTAATGGATAAAATGAGCTAAGGATAGCTCGAGAAACACATAAAATAAGGCGAAACTCTGCCGAAATTTAGTTTGAAAATTCTAAGTTAAACCTAGTTTTAGTTCTAGAATTTGAGGCTAAACTTGG